TGCTCTGCGATACGCAAGACAAAATTACCTTGCAGATGTTACACTTGGCCTTTTGGTCGTCCAAATGCTCAAAATGATCCCAAATGGAACTTAATTTGCGTTTAAGAGACATACTTAATGTTTTGTATTAAAATTGGAAATTCAAAGCAAAAACGCGACTCTGTAAGAAAAGTTGCCACACAGTTCATAAAAACAGTGTTGCCACCATGCTGAAGATTGAGCCCCTTGTACAACAAAAAATTTAACCGTTAAGCAAGTGAACAGAATTTGTACCTAAAACGCAGTTTAAGTTCGATTTGGGATCATTTTGAGCATTTGGACGACCAAAAGGCCAAAGTAAGGCCAAGTTGCTGAAAAAATGTGGGGCGGCTGGGCCAGTTGCGGGGGGGGGGGGGGGGGGCCGCTGACAATAAGTGATTTTGTTCTGTGTAAGAAATGAACTAAACATAGCTAAAAGTAATTTTGTCTTGTGTACCGAGTACAACTTGAACAGGGAACAACTGAACAAGTGAGTGAACAGTGAGCAACTGAACAAGTGAACAGCTGAACAAAAATTGAGTGAACATGTTCAGTTCACTCAGTGAAGTGAACAGCTCATTTTTGTTCACTCACTCATGAGCAACCCAACTCTACTTCAGACTTTGTAGCTGCAGTTAATCGTTCATAATAGAAAACCACCATCGACGAGATTACTGATTGTAATCTACATATATATGTGGGAATGGTATGGTAACGCCGTATAGCCTACCCTCCCATGAACAGCTGAGTAGAACGACGAGTTGGCAAGCCGGCCAGAAACGAGGAAAAAGCAAAAGAAGTTATCGGAAAACGACGAAAGACGGTCACGAGAAACGACGCTCTCAAAAATCACGAGGAAAATACGCGAAAAGACGAAACAACGAGCTATAATAATCCAATATCTTATTCACATTTACATTTAAAGGAACATATAATTATAACCAAAACCATACAAGCTAATCACTAAACCTAAATACATTTAAACCAACATGCCGGGACTGTTCTTATTTCGATCGGAATACCTACACTTACCCCGGTCCCACATATTTTGGGGGCTCAACCTACAAAAAATAAAAAGTCCAAAAAGTGCGTAGTTGTGAAGCGAAAAAACTTAAAAACTGACATTCTCAAGGTGAACGTAACGTGGAAAGAAACGACTCAAATCACAATACATACAAACATACGTGGAGAGCCACACACAAAAACGGCAGCATAAAATAAAATAAGAAAACGACGCGTATCACACATACAAGAAATTGTGAAATTAAGAAATAATGAAGAAGTGAAAAGAAACGAGAAGGAGCGTGCGAGTCGCTTCTGGGGACGCGACTCTGCCCATACCCGTACTCAGTCACTATATTCATTTTTGAGCTTATGATTTTTTAGAATTTTAGAATTGAAAAAAAAATTTTTACATTTACATGTTACATTTTTTTGCTACATACGTTATATACAGCTACTATGTATATTCTACAACTAACATGTAGATTCTACATGTACCATTTAGATTCTACATCTCCTCCGTTAGAGGGCGCTCGCGTACATAACGCGGCAGAGTGTGCGAGAGAGAAAGAGAATGAGTAGTAGGTCTCTTGCTGAAGGAGCTGGGGCAACCAACAGAAAAATAATTTCTTCATTTTGGCTATAAATATGATCCGATCTGATTCAGATTCGTCAATCTGGTTGATATGGTCATTCTCTACGATGCTGCATTTTTCGTTTTATCGTATCTTTAAAATTGTGGGGGCGGAAGGGGGCGGGGCGAAATTTTGAAATACACTTGTAGCAGTGTGATATCACATGAGTCTGAAAACCAAATTTGGTTGCCCTAGCTTTTATAGTCTCTGAGATCTAGGCGCTCAACTAGACGGACAGACAGACGGACAGACAGACGGACAGACAGACATGGCTATATCGACTCGGCTATTGATGCTGATCAAGACTATATATATTCTTTAAGGGGTCGGGAACGTTTCCTTCTCTGCGTTACACACATCCACTTTTACCACACATCTAATATAGCCCTTAACTCTTTTTGAGTACGGGTATAAAAATTACAGTTCCTTTTGAAAAGTAAAATGATCAGCATCAATCGACGAGTAGATATTGCCATGTCCGTCCGTCCATCCGTTTTTGATGAGCGCCTAGATCTCAGAGGCTATAAGCGAAAGAGCAACCAAATTTGTTATCCATACTTCTTTGAAGTGACGCCCCTCACTCGTGGCGATCCAACGAGCTCTTCTTTCCTCCGCTTACACTCTGGTTGCCTGTTCCTCTTTTAGCGCTGAGATGGGATGATTGAACGCAAATAGCAGACACATCGCAAGCGTTAATTATATCGAGTAAACACGGTAATGGTATCAGCGTTATGGAAACGGTAAGATGGGTACATGCCAAGGGCATTCCCGGTATTTAGAGCAGCCAGGCCAATAGCCATATGACATTAGACTCAGACAATTTCGCTGCGTAGAGAGGGAAAGCCATAGAGATCAAATGCTACATTATTGTTTGACGCCGACTCCAGACACGTTTAATGGCTTTTAGTAGAACAACTGAGGCACTACTTGACACACAATGATGTTTTCTAGCAGAACACAGACACCAAGCCAGCAAAATTGTATCCGCAAAGTAAATTTTTCGATCAATTCTGCCGCAGCGCTGATCCCAGCTCAACTGGACAGCCAGCTTGACGCATATAGTTCTCTCGCTCTGACTGCAAGCATTTCCGATGAGGCCATGTCTATTTTTCCAGCTAGTCAGTTAGCAAAGTCTAACGTCATATGGCTATAACCAATGCAGATTGGGCCAGACAGCCGATATTTTGGCATAAATTCGAAAACTTCACAGGACAAAATCTTAGAAAGAATGCATACATATTTTGTATTAATGCAAACAGAAATCTGCTTAAATGGCTTGTCTAAATATATGTTTCTGGAATGCAAATGGCATTTCGCAGCACAAATGCGAGCTCTTACAGTTCCTCGCTCAACAAGACATTGACGCCATGCTCATATCAGAGACTCACCTAACAAATAAAAAATATTTTCACCTCGATGGCTTTAACTTCTATGCGACAAATCATCCCGATGGTAAGGCACATGGAGGTACTGGCGTTCTGATCAAGAATCGCATTAGGCATTATCCATTGCCTTCATTTGCTACACCTTATCCACAGGCGACAGCAATTCATATTGAAATTCAGAGCGGCTACCTAAACCTAGCCGCAGTATACTGCCCACCACGCTTCTGCATTTCCGAAACAGAATTTGTAACATTCTTCGACCTACTAGGTGACCGATTTATAGCAGCTGGATATACATCTACATTTACTATGTATATTCTACATCTAACATGTAGATTATAGATGTCCCATTTAGATTCAACATCTCCACCGCTAGAGGGCGCTCGCGTACATAACGAGGCAGAGTGTGCGAGCGAGAAAAAGAATCAGTAGTGGATGGTTCTTTCTGAAGGAGGCGGGGGGAAGCAGCTGAAAATTTCTTCATTCTGGCTATAATTATGATCCGATCTGATTCAGATTCGTCAATCTGGTTGATATGGTCATTATCTACGATACTGCGTTTTCAGTTTTATCGTATCTTTAAAAATGTGCCTGCCACAGATTTTCGTCCCTTGTGGTGGCGGAAGGGGGCGGGGCGAAATTTTGAAATACACTTGTAGCAGTGTGATATCACATGAGTCTCTTTTTGTCTCTGAGATCCAGGCGACAAACAAGATGGACGGACGGAGAGACGGACAGACAAACATGGCTCTATCGACTCGGCTATTGATGCTGATCAAGAATATATATACTTTATGGGGTCGGAAACGTTTCCTTCTCTGCGTTGCACACATCAAAGTCAGATGTAAGGTTAATTACGAGTTGGTTCCCGAAAATCGGGAATCTTTTTCTTGAGTTTGTGAGTTTTGTAAATTTTGAGAAAAGGTGAATTTAAAATATGGAACAGAGAGGCCGGAGTATGTAGAATGTTAATGTAAAAAAAGATTTTGTATATATATGTTAGTTCGTTTTTTGTGCGTATTTATTTGGACCTTCCAAAATTAGACAAAACTTAACCAACTTGCCTGTCTTTTGTGGGAAACAACCAATACCGCGGCAGCCAGCGGCAAAATCCAATCCAATCCAAAATCAAATTAAATTAAATTATTTTCGACCGTTTGCGACCGTAATACTTTTACGGGTATTTTCATCTTGTTGGTCAGGTCGAACTTTTTATGAAACGCTACTCAATATTTGGATTGATAGAAATAAAAATAGTTGCTTTGATTCAAGCTTGATATTTAACAAGCCGTAGACGTATTTTTACCTCAAGAACGGATTAAAACGATGAAAAAAGTGAAAATTACTATTTTTGACAATTAAATCCAAAGAAGCCTGCCAAAATGCGCTGAAATATGAAAAATGTGAGGATATGCTTTTTTAGTGGCTATAATCTGAACTAACCATACATGAATATAAATATATAAATTCTCATCAAATAATCACGTCAATAATAATGCATTACTCAACAAAAACAACTAGTAAAAGGTGCACCTTTTAGGTGCAATGTGTGGGCGTGTGGGAAAATTTAACGTGCTATCGCTGACGTTGTGGGAGGGTGAAGTGCTTGGTGGGGCCGCCAGGCGTTTCGTTCTCACATGCTTGGAGCTGTTTGTTAGGCGTCAGTGTTCTTTTATATTTACATTCGTTTGCTAATGGCATGTTTAGGCTCGATGGAATGAGGAGGCCAGCAATGCAAACAGGAAAACTAAGTAGGATCGTCTCTCATGCCCCTCGGGCAAAGAGACTTGATTCCATCTTTGAGTGCGCGTGCAAGCGTATTTGTGGGGGGTGGAGGAACAATGGCTCCAAGCAAATTGATTTCCCCCGTATGACTAAGGGGAAATTGTCGTGCAAGTAAAAACCTGCACTCTGCATTCAGCCCCACATTCACTCAGAGTCCTTTTCTGCCTCTTTCCAGAAATGGCCCTGCTCCTGCCCGCTGCGCTCTCACACAATGTCAACAGCAGCGCCATCCGGCGCAACCGACGATCAGGCTACCGTGACTCCTACAGCCAGAAATGGGATCATGAGTGAGTATCCCTCTAACGCAATACAATGACAAAATACTCGTAGAACAATTTAGCCAAATAATAGAAAAAATATTTAATGTGATAGTAACAAAAAACAACCCATTAAAATTAGACAAAAAAGATCAAAAATCACACAGTAAACTAACTCTGAGCTCTAAGCTTCTGACGGCACTTGTTTCGGTTTGGGTTTATTTTGTATTTTATTAAAAATAATCTGCTAAGTCTGGACACGGGTATAAATAGAACAAAACAAAAGAGAGGGAAAATAGAATATGAAAATATAAATAAAAAAGTACATACATATGTACATACAGTAAATATTACAGATTTTCTAAATTAAAATGATGGTAAATATTAAGTGCTATTTTTTGAAGGGACATTGAAGGGGATATGGTATGGTAAAAGGAATTATTATTTTGGCATAAAACTCGAAACGGTTCATGCCAAGCCTTACTTAAGCCTTGCTAAAATCTGCAATGCCTACGTGCGTTTTCACGTAAAGCCTCGGTTGGTCAGAGTCGACAGCTATAGAATGTAAGTCGATGTTGATCGATGTCTAAAAAACCATTGGGGGGGGGGGGGGGGGGGGGGGGGGGGGGGGGGGAAGGTTGAGTAGATCAAAAATATAATTTTCACTATACCGGCATCAATAGCGAGGTTTAGAGGCTATACATAAATACAAATGTATCGTCCTTATTATATTTTTGATCTGTTTCCATACTCCTGCAATGGGTACACAATGGCTTAAGATTTCTATCACCGCACAGTGGCTCGTTGTACGAAAACTCGCTGCAAAAGTCGGATATCGTGTTGTTGAATTTGGCCAAACTTTTGTTACACTTCAATTAGGAATTGATCAAGCTGCTAAAACCAAAATTTTATAATTTGCTAACAAATTTTAACAAATAAATTCGTTGTTCAAATTTGAACATTTTTCTTTTTTTTAAATAAAGAGAAATGTGCTTTAAACGCAAAGTTAAATGCATTTCTTTTCATTTCTTAAGCTAGGAGAAAATTTGGTTTTTTCCGGGAAGCGGTAAGGATGTCAACAATGAGGAGGAACCGGTGACCAGGCCCACTAGCATCCAGCGTTTCCGCGGGAAATGCCGTGAGACTGGCTCCGGTGGATTACGAAGAACCACTGCGAAGGGGAAGGGGATGACCAGGTCAGCATGTCAGTTAACGTTTATAGCTATGTAAGCTATAAAAGCAGCAATTGTGCTGCGTAGAGAGAGATAGCATGAGAGCAAAAATAGAGCAACATTACTGTTCGTGGCCGTCTCTAGACGCGTCTAATGGCTTTCAATCGAACAACTGAGGCACTACTTGAGACAAAATTCTGTTTTCCAGCAAAACACAGCCTCCAAGCCAGCAAAATTGTATCCGCAAAGTAAAACAATCGGCTAATTCTGCCGCAGCGCTGTTCCCAGCTCAACGGGGAAGCGAGCTTACCCGTACTCAGTCAGTATCTATATTAGCTTTTGTTTTGTATGGAATTTTCAAATATTTTATCTGCTTGCATTTTTTGCTACATCTGTCATCTACATCTACAATGTAGATTATACGTGAGCGCGAGAGAGAATCGGTAGCGTTGCAGCGCTAGACCGGGATGGGGCAGCCTCAGCAAATTAATTTCTTCTTTTATATCACACGAGTCCTGAGAAGGAGGTCTTGAACAGGAAGCGAACACTCTTCGGTCAAATCAGAATTAGAAACAGAATCGCACTAATTGTCTTAATTTTTAGTAAAATAAAATTATTTTTTTTATTTAAAAAAACTCTTTACTACCGATTACACTACTCGACTTTTTCCGCCCGCCGGGGTAGGCGGGGGCGCCCGGCGGGCGGCCCGCCGGCCGGCGGGCGCGTTCCCGTACCGCGCGCCCCCGTTCTTTCGCCGGCCGCCCCTTTTTCAGAATTTCCAGACGGGCTGTACACAGGGGGCTCCGTAGACAACCACGGGGCGCCTTCGCGCCCCCCCCCCCTTTGTGGTTTCCTGGGCGGTTGGTTTTAATTTGCATACCATAATGTTCCCAGTGCAAGCCCAACAAGCATAGCTAAATAATTGAGCAATTTACAAACAAAAATTGCCCAGCTACAAAAATCAACTTTGACAATGTTTTGTTAAGTTTCTAACAATCGATTGCAATCGTAGCACCATGTACTTGTGAAAATCTTTTGGAAGATTTTTTGTTTGGTTTTCAGACGAACACGTAACTTGTCTTCCATGAAAGTCATTTATGTATACGTTATGGTCGAAATGAAATGGCCGTGGGCCACACTGTCGTCGCCACTAAAATTACTTGGACACATTTTTAGGTACATGTTTAGTTTCTTGTTCAGACTTACCTTACAGGTTAGTTTAGTTACATTAGTTTCCATTCCGCATCTTACTGATCTAAAAATAAATCAAATGAAAATAGCTGAGAAAACCCAAAAACACGACTAATCGAGCCTCGCATACATACTGCATTTACTATGCATGAGTATGTGCTATGGGGTTTAATTGTTTTGATTGTTTTTTGACAGCTTGCAAGTTCAAAATTTGTGCCTACCGTGGCTCACAATATAAGTCGCTCAAATGCAGACATATTCTTTTGCTTTATTCTTCTCGTATTTTTTTTAAGTTTTAAGTGTCCGCAAAGAGAGGCCATAATCCTCAACCTGGCTTTAAAAGGTTAGGCTTTCTTTTTACGGGGAAACATTCCCTTTTTGTCGATTCATTCAGTTTGGACATTACGAACGGTGCTGGAACATTTGAGACAAATTTTGCTATCCGTTGCAGTTTTATGACCCACAGTACGCAAAATATTTCGATGTCGTGATGGAAATTGGAAAAGGAACTAAAGGAAGGCATAAACGCTTGTAATAAAAGTGTATCTTAAAAGGAAAAGAGAGCATAAAATTCGTGTAAGCCAGCCTTGATTTGACGCGTTTTAAATTCCTTCGAGTTTTGCTTTTTTTTTATTGCTGGCTTCTTTTTTAATGATTTTTTCGGTGAGGCTGGCAGTAGTTGGTCAGGCGGTGTCTAGGAGGTGATGTCAGGAGTTTGGGGCCTGCCTGCTTCAGCGTTTGTGACGTGGCATTAAGTGTCTTTGTTCTATTTGTGATGTGGCCAGGCGTATGCAAACAAAAACTTCGAAAACAAACAAAGCAGGTCAAAGCGGTTCCTCCATGTTTGCTTTTTCTTTCGGGTCATCCTATTTTCTTTGGTCAGCATTTTTTGTGTCCGTCAGCTTTGGATTGCAGAGTGAGACGTGGCCCTTGCCGCGACTTGTTGATGGCATCCTAGCGGTCGTGCATTACGGGTATATATGTATGTATTTATATATATTATATTTATATATGCCCAATACGCCCCGACATCCCTCCACATTAGGGGTGACAGAAAATCGGTCGAACATATTTCGGTTTCGCATTTTGGATACCACAATGAAGGCACATCAATCACGTTCCGACTCCTCACGCCACTCGCCCACGCTTTTCCCCACTCCACTATTTCGACTCCACTTGTTCTGTCCGATTGTTTGTTTCTTGATGTTTGTGATTTTCAAACCACCCCGTCTTGAGTGCTCCTGATGGCCCATCAAAGGCCGTTTATTATGGTGCTTTTCGCTTGTGTTGCTCTGGTTTCTGTTTTGTTTCATTCCGAAATTAAATTGAATGCTTTTTGATTTCTCTCTTTCCGCTGTTCCGTTTTCCGCTGTTATTTTACTTCTCTCCACCACTCTTGCAGCTCCCTCTCATTCCATATTCAGTTCCGAAATTCTCTTCCATTACTTTGACCACCGCATCATTTTGCCCTTGCCCCCAGATTAGACAAACAGCAACGCCTGCCTGTGTGTGTTTTGTTGCCCGTTTCTTTGGGGCTTAATTAAAAGACGAGCGGTTGACGGGCAGTTTGGTGGACAGAGAATACTGACAGCGGACACTAAGCCATGAAGAGCAGGGCGGGTGTGGGGTAGATTTTGTTTGAGACTGTGGCATCTAATTGAAACGGATCAATGCACATTGGGAAACAGCAAATTTGGCTTATAAAAATTAATGTCGCCGAAAGTAAAAATAATTTCTTCTGTCCTTTTTTTTACTATGTGTTGGTACGTATTATGTCTAAATTGATTTTTCAAATGTTTTTATAAGAGGCAAGCTGAATGGAACTGTTCAGTTTGTTTTGGGAGGGTTGGTGAAACGGCTGGAGCTTACTCGTTTAACCAGCTCTTTAAATCCATACCTTAAGCGACGCTCAAGCAACTTCCCCATACGATTAATATATAAAACACAACAAGACTCTAATTTACTTTCCTGAGTTTAAAAGGTCAAAACATCGATACAAAAATTGCACTTTTTCCTCAACATAACAAATTGAACAAATACCGAGAAGGAACGTTGTCAGTCGCTGCTGTGGCCGCAACTCTAACTTTATACCCGTACTCAGTCAGTATATATGTATGTACATACATATGTATGAACTTATGATATATGTAAAATTTGAAAATCTATCCATATACAGTTGCGGTCAAAATAATAGTAGTGCTACTAATGGATTTACATATTGCTAATTTTTTCCGCTATTGTTTCAACAATCGAATATGTTTCTTTACTCGTACAACTATTAAGCATTTCTGTCCTTGCTTATAAAGTTATACTAGCGTGTCCCTTTGCTTTCCGTTAAATTTCGAGATTTTTCGATAAATATCACCATTTCGATGCTGTAAACATTATAGTATGTAGTGCTACCGAAAATTTTGAAACTTATGAACTCTACTGCATTTCTTGCAAAACTTTCTTTGTTAAACAATACTTGAATGGTTTATTTAACAGTTTCAAGCTTTTTTATTTTCGTCTTTGGTCATTTGGTACCGGTGTCATGGGGCGTGGCAAACACTCTAGCGCGGAGAAGGCTTCGTGCTTAAAGGGATCGTTTCAGTAGGAAAGTAATACTTCGACATGCTAAATACTATTAGTTTTTTAGCTATTGTGACCAGAAATGATAATAAATAA